TTGTGCGAAATGAGACAAGCAGGACTTGGCAAATTTTCTCGCAGGTTCGATGTCAATGATGTCACGATTTGATTGCGAAGAAGATAATTAGCAACATCTATCTATAAACGAATTGCGAGGCGGATATATATATATATATATATACTTATTTATTTGTTTATGGAGAGAGAGAGAGAGAGCGAGGTTTTATGCGCGGCTGGCATGTGGTTGTGTTACCACTAGCTTGTTATCGAGCGGGACTGTTGCTGGGACCTCAAGAAGGGAGTACGACCATCCAGGTCTTTCCGAGTAGGGGCTCCTAAACCCCCCAAGGGGGGGGTTGCCCCTGCAGGACCCGATGCCCTAGAGAGAGGGAGAGGGGGGAGAGAGAGCGAGCGCGATAGACAGAGAGAGCTAGAGAGACCTTGCAGGAGGCCCCTGCGCAACCGGCTCCATCTTCAAGTGTGGCCGTCACACCGGGCTCTGCTGGCACGGTGTAATGCAGTAGTCGACGGCACGCGTCATTCAACATAACATGAAGTCAAGTTCAATCTTGCACGGCAATATCCTGTAAAGAGAGTTTTGCGAGGGGATGGGGTTCGGTCGAAAAAGTTGCTTCAGCGTGGCCCTGCCAGACGAGAGTGGTGCTTCGGGCGGTGTCGCCTTTCAGAGTCTGTTCATCAGCGGCAGTGAAACAAACTGCTGCTTGTTTCATGCGACGCTTTGCGGCTTTGACTGATTTTGGACAAGACTTTTGTTGACCTCCTCACTTCACTCAGCTGTTCCAGGCTTGTGACTGCGAGATACTTCATCACTTGCCTCATAAGTAACATGCTTGCCAGGCTTTGAGCAGTACCAGGGCGTGAGCATGTATCCGATGATGGGTCAGCAGGCCCACATGACCCCTGTGCCACAGCTGCTCGCCCTGACATATTCGGGGCTTCTTGAGAATTACTCGTTGAGTTTGGTCGGGTCACGGTATAGTTTGCCGAGGTCAACAGGGTCGCAACGCCAACGGGGCCACGAATTGACCCCCGCAATTGGCCCCAGGAGTACACATTGGTTTGCATAATGTCTTTAATGTCTTGCTGCTTGCTTCTCATATGTTAGTAACCCGGAACATTGGTATCATTTGCCCACTGCACCGGCAGCTTTGAAGCTTGAGTGCGACTCGGCACTTTAAAGTGAGTTCCAGCTTCCTACAGCCCACGATGTAGTTGAGGACTTGGCGTGAGGGATCTAGCTGCTTCCCGGGGGTCAGCATATGTTGGCCAATCGATCCATGTCCTGTCGTCGGAGTGGATCTCGGAATCCAGCTGAACATGACCTCCCTCAGGCCACTACCTTCGGGGCTGGACACCGTGTTTGCATAGGATTCTCATTGCACTTTAAATGATAAGCACAACATACTGGCAGCCTGGTTCATGGTGCACGTATTCATGAGACAATCCTTGGAGCTAGCATTGGGGCCGGGGGGGTGTCATCGGATGGCTTAGAGCCTGCAGCCCACCGGTCAAAATCCACGAGGTGTGGTTGAATGGAGAGGCGTAGAGGAAGCAAGCCCAAATTGGAGTTGTAGCGTGGAATGTCTGGATGATGTGTATTCAGCCGAACCAGAGAGCACTTGGACTTTAGGTTTGCTTGGGATGAGGAGCCAGCACGTTTGCTGAGGTACTACCAGCAGGTGCCGAACTACCAGCCGATGTACTACCAGTACCCCGCGGCGCAGGCCAAAATTGGGGTGCGCACGGTTCTTGGAGTTTTCGATTTGTGGGTTTCGAGGCTTTGGTATAGGGTTGAAGCTAGCGTCCCACGCTAAATCAAGCTTCTTGGCACGAGTGCCAGCCGTAAGAGTCCAAAACTACTGAAACATCACCCGCCCTGCAAGAAATGGCAATAACAACTTGCCGGAGAGACCAAGCAGTTAGAATATATGGGAGGTACAGTGCAGGCGATATCCTCTCATATGCCTTTGAAGCCTCATGTGCAGTGGGGGCTAGGTCTAAAGTTGCCCAGGCGCGACTCTGTGTACTTAGAGTGTTTTGCGTCTCTGCAGAGTTGCAGCTACAACCTGAAACAAGCACAGACTCTAGATGGCTTATTCCAGGATTCAAAGATGGGACGGGACCTGAATCCCACATCCGAGTTACAGTATATCAGTTGTGGCTACGGCAGTGCGTGCTAGAGTGCATTTAGTGATGTTAGAAGATCCTAAACCCCAGAGAATCTTCGAGATATGTAGAGTGTGGGGTGTCGGGGACTGCTGCTGGGGGAGCGGGAGAGGCTGCTACGACGATGTATTGAACAGCCGCTGGCTCAGAACGAAGACGAGCGTTGACTTTGGTGCTGTTTCAATTGAGTTTCCGGTCTCTGGGCTTGTGATATCAAGGGCTGGACATAGTTTCCGATACAGGTGTGAATGTGACAGGAGAGCTCCCCGGAATGAATCTGATAGCCGCTGCATCCTTGTTTTCGGAGACCTATATCATGTACGGATGCCAATGTGAATCTGAAAGTCGCTGCATCCTTTGTCGCGGACCCGGGAGGGAGACTCCGGAGCGTTGAGAAGCGCTTATGAAAGCCCCATGATCAGGCCTTATCAAGCCACCCCCCAACCCAAGGCCCGGAACCCGAACCCTACACCCTAAATCCCGCACCCTCGGACTCTCTAAGTCGTCTGAGTGGACTCACTGCAGCCGAGGTACCCAGAAGAGGAAGCTTTTGAGCGTAGCTCCGGCAGATGCCTCAAAGGAGTAGCACAGACCGGAGAGTTTGCCAAAGGTGGCACCATGCTGGCCTTGAAGAGGTACTAGGTCTATGGGTTGGGGGTTCAGGGTATGTGTCGAAGATCGTTCGAGCCATTCGTTTAGTACACTGGCCTCCTGCCGTATCGTCGCACTATTTTCGTTTTTGGTTGTCAGGTGAGAGCCAGAAAACTCGAGGGATAGTTTGTAGGGAGTGGTCAGCTTGGGTCACCTGCACAGAATGATTTTGCATCTACTTGCTTTCGCTCAGATGGTCCCCGCATACAGCCATGGCTTGAAGTGTACCGAAACCGCTTGAAGAAGCCCATGCTGGGACCAGACGGGCCCGTTTACTTTTGTTGTCAGCTGTAAGTCAACGCACTGTTCCGCAACACCCTTCGGCGAGCCTCTTGACTGCAGATGCGGCAGAGTCGTTGAGCTTCCGCATCTGCATAGTTCTCGATGTGTGCTACATGCAGCTACTTGCAACCATCGCATTTCTTGTTGTTGCGACTTTCGAGGCAGATGTAGGGTGCCTGGATGACGATGCCGTCAAGAGACAAAAGAGCAAGCCTGAACGTTTCCCATTCAGTCAGTCACAGCATGATATCTACAATCGGACCGTGTTAAAACCTCTTCTGCAAGCTTTCGAGGGGCTCCGGGCAATATTTGGGTTTTGGATTGAAGTGGTGTCAAGGACTACGGTTCCAGCATCCGGCGTCAGAAGCTGTAGTTTGGAGCTTCGGGCAATCAATGGTTGCATTGTAGCGATGTGCTTAGGTGAGGCAAAGACTAGAAGACTTCCAGCCTTGAATATGCCAGGAGTCTTCATGTGTTAAGTCTTATGTGTTCCGAAGGCCGTTTCCATCAGGGGTAGAATCTCTGTGTGAGTCTTACGCCCTGCTCGCACGGCCCAACTTCGCCTTTGCGGATCTGCAAGGTGTCTTGGATACGGGCTAGTTTACTACTCGGCAAACAGGTTATTCTTGAGCTCCATGCAACAGCGATTTAATCATCTGGCGTAAGTTTGCACGCGCGGGTGTGAGTGTGTGTGTGTGTGTGTGTGCGTGCTTTTGTGTGTGTGTGTGTGTGGGTGCGTGCGTGCGTGCTTGTGCTCATGCACGCGGCTGCGCGCTCTGTTCAACCGACTTGGCTGACAGGCTCTGTCAACCAAATCAGTGGAGTCGCACAGGCGCCTACCATGTGCGTGCAATCAGGCCCACATTCCACATGCCGTACGAAAGGACTTCCCGTTCCAACCTCATGCTACGCTTATAAACGTAGTCATCACGGACTCAGGAATTTGGAGTCCACGCCGTCGGTCTTACAAGAGCCGCCCCAGTTGCTGAAAGCTTTGGTCTGATACAGGCCCACTCCCCTGCATGGACAGTAAATCAGGCAATCAGCCGAGTCTCAACCATTAGGGTCGCCGTCGACACTTCTTACCCGCGAGCTTCTTTCTGGGGCATGTATGAGAGAAACCCGACTGTTGCTCCGCCCTGGACCTCGGGGTTTGCCGACAGCATCGATAGGCCCTGGAGACCTTAAGCCATCTACCACAGGAGCCGAAAGTCTGTCATCCAGGTGAAAACTATGCTTCGTGGCCTTTGCATTGTCCTTGCCTTGAGCGGAGCCATCACTGGCTTAGCTACTGGGGCTGCATTCTTTTTTTCGGTATGTATGCATGGTCCGGCCTGCTGGCAAATGTTCCCTACATGCCGGCGGTTTCGACCTTCCGCGGACGACGCGCTTAGATCTTCCCGATTCATCTCTGCAACTGCTTGACGACAAAAGCGAAGTCCATGTCAACAGGTCGTGACACATCAGCTGAACAACACCTGCACTTAATTAGTCGAAGTATGTTTGGGGAAAGGCGGCAGCTGGATCGACTGCATGCTGAGCTTGCAGGGGATCCGAATTGGGAGTTTCCGAAAATTAGGGTACCTTATTTTGGGGTCCTTATAATAAGGATCCTATTATTTAGGGTACTATATATTAGGGTCCCCTATTTTCAGAAACCCCCAATTACTCCGGCAAGCTGCCCAATCCTCTGCAAAGCAAAACATGCCATCTTCCCAGGCGCACGCAGGCTCAAGCCTCACATTTTCCCTAAACCCTAAACCCTAAGCCCTAAACCCTAACTTGAGCAAACGATTCCAGGGCGGTGGTCATGCTAAGAACATCCAACAGATGCACAGACTCTTGTCAGTCGTACCGGCAGAGGATTCAGCGGGACTGTTTTTGCCCTTATGGCACACGAGAACTGCCGCCTTGTTCATGAAAAAAAAAGTCCTAGTCAAACCTCCCAACTCCCCAGCTCTGACCACTGAGGCTGACACTTCCGGGATCCCGAGTGTGCCATCTTGTGCCAAGATTGGCGTGGCGTACTCGGAAGACCGCGCCCCTTGCGCAGCAAGAAGCTGACCTAAGTCTCAAACCCGGAACTGCCTATAAAGTCTATGACAGACTCAGAGCAGCGAGGCTCAAGGCCCATTTCTTGGCGTCTTAACATTCAGTCTGTGTTTGATTGCCTGTCACAGAGTAACCTGTTGTGTTGCGACTCTAAGAGGCTCCAGGCTGCTTCACGAAAGTGAGGGTCGGATCCGACGGCCGACCTACAACCAGTACTTGCTTTCCCGCCGGTTGCGTGATCCTTCGTACCCATCTGTGGCGTGAGGGAAGTGTGTTGCCGTGGGTTCAGGATGTTGAAAACAATGTGAGTTGGGGTTCAGAGTGTGCGTCGTGTAGGAGGCTTTGGGTTTAGGTTTAAGCTTTGGTACTAGGGGTTGATAAATTCTTAAAGGGTTGCGATACCGGTGTGGCAGAAAAGCCTGCAGGACACAGCCCGTTCTCTCCCCAATGGTGCCTACCTCGCAGACGCCAAGATGTGCCAGCAGCTGCTCGGCAGCTGCCATCCTTCAGGGTTTAGGGTTTCGCGTTAAGGACTTCAGCTGATCAGCAGAGTCTGGGTTCAAAAACATGGTTTAGGGATGCCTGAAATAGAAATCTTGGGCCGATTACAGCTCGCTGATTGGTCTAGCAATGTGGGAATTTCCGAATATTAGGGGTACCTTATTTGGGGGGTCCTTATACTAAGAATCCTACTATTTAGGGTCCTATATTTGGGTCCCCTATTTTCGGAAACCCCCATGTGTCTACGCACTGATCAAGTCGAAGCCTGGAAGCTGATCGCCCGTGACCGAGAATCCGGACAGTTGGATTCGCGCTGTGTGTGCCTCTTTGCAACCATAGCTGATCTCTGGGTTCTTCTTGAAGCGGTGAGGTTTCTTTCCCACATGTAGTGCGACTGTATCCTTGTTCCAGAGTCAGGTTGAGAGCGAATCGATGGCGCATTCAGTTTTAAGAAGCCCTTAAAAGCCCAATCTCAACCCTCATCCTGGTGCTTGCTGCAAGGAGTTGCGAGGTGAAGCTTGGCACGCAGATGATCCGGAGCTGTTCCGGTGGTTCAGTAGCGAGGTGAAGGCCGTGTAGGCATCTTATAAGATATGTGCGACAGAGGAAAGTCAGTTCCAGATGGAGGCAGCTTTGTTGGCATCCTGGCCAGCTGCATCACCCTAGGATCTGTAAGGGAAAACGCTTCCAGCTTTTCCGACTCTTCGGGTTGTCTGCCCTCGATTAGACGAACGATGTATTGGTGTTGCGCAGACCATCGACAGCTAGACCCAGGTGCCAGAGACTCTGTGGGTCCTTCGTACACTTCAATGTGTATGTCTATCGTATTACACTGGTTCAAATTGCTCTGTTCAAGACGAGTCATGTCAAGTCTAGTCTAATTTACAGTTGTTTGAATCTAATCTAATCTGGTCTAGTCTAGTCCAACCTAATCTAGTCTAACCCTTGCTTATCTAGTCTAACCTTGCTTAATATGTTCTAACCCCTGTCTAATGTAACTTCATCTAGTCTAACCAAATGTAACCTAACTATGAGCCGGTCTCTTTCGCACATCTATAATTACTGGTCTATGTTATGCTGTTTTGTGTGCTACATGTATATTTTTTTATGTTCTGTTCTATCGTGTAATACTACGTTACATGACATCCGCGACCACCAGCAGAGGATGCCAGACTGCACGCACTTCACTTGGAAGGAGGACTCCTTCCCAGGCGGTATCTAGAACTGCATTTGAGTTGTCCAAGGTCCCGAATGTCTCACCGCGAGGAAAGCAGCACCGGGGTTTCGGATCAACGTTCTTTAGTAAGGTTTGAAGTTCTGGATGGGGTTGGTTCGGACCTTAGTTAAGACTTTCGGTTGGCATAGGATTTCATGGTCGGGTTTGCTGCAATATTCCGTCCATTTCTGTCCATGGGGTTCTGGCTTCTGTGCACGCTCGACAACCGCCCAAAGCCGAAAAAAGGGTGAATCCCTCACAACCGGCACCACAAATCATTGCTGCCAGTCCCAGCTGTGAGTCAGCGAAGCGAACTGCGAATGCCTTGGGAAGCCGCTTTTCCCACCTTAAGCCAGGAGCAGCGCGCGATCGAACAGTGATGAAGACCTGTCCAGAATGGCACGAACCTTCGTAGCTGAAGCCCTAAAGCCTAAGTAGTGATAGTGATACGCTTAAGGCTAAAGGCACAGACACTCTCTCGGTTTGGGGCATAGACGGACGGATAGAACGCAGAGAGAACCGAAGAGGCCCGAATGATTGGAGCAACTACGGAGACGGGGGTGGAACTTGGTAAGGATTACTGTTATTCTCAGGCCCTATGCGATCTTATGCCCTAATTCCGTAAAGTCTGAAGCCAATACAGTACCAGTCTTTGCTGAAACCAGGCCGTCCACCCTAAACCCTCATATCCCAAGCCCAATCCTGAAGAAAAGAAACGCCCTAAACCCGAAACCCTAAACCCCTAAACCCTAAACCCTAAACCCTAAACCCTAAACCCTAAACCCCAAGCCTTTCTTCCTAAGGTGCCTGCTACCTCTTCAAGCAACTGGGAAAGGAGGAGCCTGATGCAAAGGCGATTAGCGGCCCGAAGGCCGGGCTTGAGCTGTTGTTGCTTACTATTAGGGTTTAGGGTTTAGGGTTTAGGGTTTAGGGTTTAGGGTTTAGGGTTTAGGGTTTAGTTGTTGCTTACTTTTCAGGCTGTAGGGTTCTGTCGAGGTTTGGGGGTTGGGACTTGGGGCTTGGGGCTTGGGGGGGGGGGGGCTGCCTGGCTTCCCTCTCCCTTTGTTTTGGGTTTGGGTGCTGAGTCTTTTGGTTATGGGTCTTGCGGGGTTTCGAGCGTTAGGTTCTTATGGGGGGGGGTAGGGGGTAGGGGATTCGAGGTCGAGTGGCACTTCCGACGCTGCTCAGTTTGATTGAACGCTCTCGGACATGTATTTTCTTCCTGGAGTAGTCGTCACCAGTAATACCCCGCAGAGAAGTTTCCTGATGGTAACCTAACACTAATATTTACAGCTAGTAACCCACGAACCCTAATAATAATTCTAGTGGTGAGGGGTATTGGAACGCTATTGCTCTGAATGTTTCGCTAGCTCGTATGGTTTCATGCAATCGGCATGCCTGGAGCTAGCAACATACTACTGGGGTTTCAAGGGTTCGTAGCATAGCATCACCTCTTTGGTCTCTTTCTGCAAACTTAGCACTCCTATAAAAAAAATCAACCTGAGCCTGCGATAAGAACTTTCATTGATTCATACGAGACGACACCGAAATCCTAATCAAGTCGTTAATGCCCTTTGTTGCCATGGTTAAATGTCAGCTGCCCCGACCTTAAATTCAGAGCCCTAAACCCTAAAGTATAGTCCTCATTCATGCGAGAGGGAAAAACCCTAAAATCCTAAACCCTAAAACCCTAAACCCCAAAACCCTAAACCCTAAAACCCTAAACCCTAAACCCACTAAAGCCTTAAGCACCATCAAACACCAGGTCCTCGCCTCACCTTGCCTCTCGGCTCCGCGAGCCAATGCTCATCATTGGCTTATAGGTCTCTCTAGCACTTCTCCCCCTAAACCCCTAAACCCCTAAACCCTAAACCCTAAAACCCTAAACCCCTAAACCCTAAACCCTGATAAACCTCTGGCTTCTTCATTGCCAGGCCTCGTTTCGGATTTTGCGAAACTGGCATTGTAGCTTCCAAGGAATGTCTCCCATCCCATATTGTTGCTATAGATGCATCCTCCAAGGGCCAAGCTTCCGTTTTGCACTACTACAGATTTCAATCTTCAGCGCACCGCGTAGCCTCCCAACTTTCGATCCTAGCCTGGGGGGCATGCATAGGATCCGGATTTCCGTGCATTGGCCAGGCCTGTGTTAGCTCGGCGGATTCGAAGGTCGCCCAGGACAGGGTTTATAGGGTTTTGGGGGAACCTTGCTTTATAGGGTAAACCGTGGATACCCTATATATTGACGAGAGGCCCCGCCCCCTCCCGGCAATAGGATTCCGAAAGTGTTTCAATTATTGGGGGTGTACTTTTATCTCTACTAGAAGCTGGCACCTTTGAGGGATCTTGCTCTGTGTTTGCTCCTGCTCTTGCTGTGGCTCTCGCTCTTGCTCCCGCTTGCACTCTTACTCCTGCTCTTGGTCTTGCTCTTCTCGCTCCTGCTCTTGCTTTTGTTCTGGCTCCCGCTCTTGCTCTTGCTCCTCTTCCTGCTATTAATGCAAAGGCGAGGATGATGTCAAGGGGTCTTACGAAAACTGTTTGTATTACTAGGGGGTGGTGAATAGACATGGGAACGGATTAAGCTTGAAACCTACGTAGTTGTCATGTCTTGGCATTGGCATAGCGCTGTCAGAGTGCTTCCACCTATACATCCATGTCAGGCTGCACACGCTCACACGTACATTTGGAGCAAACCGAGGAGGAATGTTTTTGGCAGGTAGTAGGTACAGATATGAACCAGTATAACCTTCCATACCTACATGAGCATCCGTCATAGCTTCCGCACTTGTACTTAGTGCCCATTGCGATGGAATCGTTGTTACGTTTGCTCTCACTGCTATATTATCATTACTGTGACGACTGCTGTTGCCAGTAGCTGTTTTTTACCTACTTTTCATGCTACCACCATCTACCACCATTACACTCCACTCACAAGAGTAAAGCGTTGCCGCACAAACAAAAATTGACCAGATCCCGCTCAACCGATAGGATCACCTGGAAGCATCCATGACCAAGCCTGAAACAATTAAGTCTTGACAAACGCTCACATATGCTATGCACTGTCCTGACGCATAAACCCGCTAGGTTTAAATGCACAGCGAAGGCTTATAAGTACGACAGCGCGATATACCGAGATAGCGCCCCGCTTGCGATTTTGCAGGCTTCTGACGTTTCTCCTTAATGACTTGCTGGTTGTGTTGCGTCGGCATGTACCTGGTAACATGTTTGTTTGTCCAGTTTGCCTCTCCGGAAGTCATATGTTCCCTGCACCGCCCCCGAACCCCTTGGCAGGACATGCCCACCTTGCCACCACTGGCGGTGATAACGCCAACGGTGAAGCCAGTGCACTGGTCTCAATTCGTCGGGCACGTTGTTCCATGACAGATGCCGAAGGCTAGTGTCCAGGTTTTCGTTGCGTTGACACTAGTTTTACCGGGCTGTTCATTCATGCTAGTTGTGAATTTTGAGGAGCTTCCGGACACAGCATGATAGGTTGGTAACACAGCCCGCTTCGGGTTAAATGACAGCTGACGGAAGCGCTCAACTCCCACCCTTCGTTGATGTGATACGAAACTGCAACAATACCTGACGACATGTGGCACTTGTCAGCTCACCCGCCGAAACCATGTTGTGTAAATGACCATACAAGCATCTTCGGCTTATATGTCGCTCCCCCAAGCCGCCAGCCTGCGCCTGCACCCTGGAACGCCAGGTGGCAATTGAAGGATCCGCAGATGCAGTTATTTTCGCTTATGCTTATGTGCACACTGAGCAAGATGTCTGCTGCCTTGGATGTCCAGTTGGACCTGCCATGCTTCGTCCTTTCTCACACGGGGATAAAACCGTTACAACGAGACCAGGCAGATGACCCATGAGTGCGCCAGTTCTGTCGCAAGCACAGTAGCAGAGCGTGCCAGCCACGCTCGAATGCCCTAGCCTGTTCCACACCGTCTGCCGGTCGGCAAACTTCTGACCCCCTTGCCAGCAGCAAGGAACGGATGCCACCGTAACTGGGCAGTGAAGTTGGGCCTGTCGTATGGAAACGAGATTAAGGGCAGGGTAGAGGCCTGTATAAGGACGGAAGCTTAGCTTAAGAGATGTAGCACATGCCGGGTTTGCGGCTTATTATGCTTCGGTTCGAAGGGCTACCTGGCAGACTGCAGTCGATGCTGCTAAGACTACTGCTGCAGCTGCTGCTGCCGTTGCTGCTCTGCTTCTACCACTACTACTACTAC